ACGCATAATGATATAGCTCTTGTTTTTGAGAAAATTATGCTGCTAAAATGATATCCTCAAAAGACCTGAATTCCCTACTGTGCTTGAAGTTGACACAAAATCTGCTAATCCTTGTACTCTTCAGAATTTGCTGTGAATTTATCATTTCTGTTGGGGCTAAGGGTGGGGCATGCAAGCAAAGCTATCTATATGCAAGACCAGTTTTACATGTAGGTGGAGTCAGTGATTTATTATTTCAACAAATATTGACTGAGCACCTACTATATTCCAGTCCTTGTGCTAGATGCTAAGAATGTAGTATAAATGTGACAGGAAAGGTGCCGATCAAATTCTAGTGGAGGAGACAGACAATGAGAAAACAAATAAATAGACAGTGTGATTCCAAGGGGTGACAGTGTTATGATGAAAAACACAGCAGTGTAAAAGGATAGGAGGTGACTGGGTGGTGGCTGTCTTAGTAGGATGGTCAAGGAAGACCTCTCTGAGGAGGTGATGTTTGAGCTAATATCAGAATCAAGTGCAGGAGCAAACCGTGAGAGTATCTGGAGAGTGTTCCTGGCAAAGGGAACAGAAAGTGCAAAGGCCCTGAGGTGAGAATAACCACTGTGCTCTTAAGAGGACTTTGCAAGCTGACTTCAGTATCTGTCAGTGTCTGCACTGTCTCACCTGTCATAGAACTTGAAATAATACTTAGGGGTTATTTTGAAACATTGAGCATTGTCTAGTTCTTTAGTAGGTCTCTCTTCCATCATCTAATCTTGTGCACTGAAGGCCCTAGCTTCTGTGGCTGGGAAACATGGAAGTTCACCCTAAAAACAGTGCTGAACCTTAAATCACTGCTTCTTAAACTTTAACAGGCACATGGTTCTAGTTCAACAGGTCTGCGGTAGAGCCTGAGAGTCTACATCTGTAACAACCTCCCAGGAGATCCCTATGCTTTGAATAGTGAGGACCTCAAGAACTGAGAACTGGGCAGTAAGGAAACAGAAGTAACTCTGGACCAGAACTCAGGAGACCTGGGTGCAAGTCTAGATGATGACATGAACCAGCCACGTGACCTCAGGTGAGTCACTTAATCATTTCTTCATTTACATTTTTCTAAATAAAAAAATCTTAAAAATTCAAGAAAAAATATTATTACTTTCAGATAAAATCAAGTTATGTGTTCTGTTGTGCACATCGTATCAAACCATAGTCATCTTGGGCAGTGTAGAAGAAATGACAGAATTGTAATTCCTCACAGATTTATTCATTGCTTCATTTTATTACCACACAGGCAAAATATCCTATCTCTTATTTAGTTAGCATAGTCTAGTGCATATCATAGAAGGGCTTGCTCTACTGGGAATAGTTGTAGTTTTCATAGAGTACCTCAGAATGTTCTATAACGAAGCATTGAGGAAGCAGAAGAGTCTGTAACCTCATGATCCCTACTGCTTTGTTGATGCCTCAGGAAAATGGAAAGACCTGAGAGGGCATGGTACACTAGGATCACTGGGTCCCAAAGATAGGGGCTCCAGCTTTGGCATAGTCCCATGACTCAATCTTGGAAGCATCAGAATCGCTGGACTCGAAAGGGAGCTAGGACCCTGTGCAGTGTGGGAAAATGGTCAATGACCATCAAACAACTGCACACTCACAGACACAGAGAACAGACTGACAGTTGTCAGCGGGGAGGGGGTTGGAAAGCTGGATAAAAAAGATGAAGGGAGTAAGAATACAAGTTGGTAGTTACAGAAGAGTAACAGGGATGTAAAGTACAGCATAGGGAATATAGTCAGTAATATCGTAATGACTCTGCATGGGGCCAGGTGGGTACTTGAAACATTGGGGAACCACTCTGTAAAGTACATAATTTTTTTAACCACTGTACTGTACATCTAAAACTAATACAGAATATTGAATGTAAATTATAATTGAAAATTTAAAAAATATATAAAATAAAACAACTGTACAGCTCTGACATGGGGAAGACTCAATAATTGAGTTCAAATTTTCCTCTGCCATGTGTATTCAAAATTAAATTTACATTAAACTAAATAATAAAATGATGTTTTACATTTGGATTTTTGGAGCGAATGTCATCCCTATTACATAAAGTAACATGTATTGAAATGTATGATATGCTAAGTTAATATATTATCTCATTTGTCTGCACAACATACGACTTAGGTAAAAGAATCCTGATTTTACAAATGGGAAAACTGAAGCTTAAAGGAGTTAATAGCTACTTGCCTAAAGTCACATTGCAAGTAATTGGTGGAGCCAGTTGAATCCAGGCAGCCTGATTCTAGCATCTGAATTCTTAGCCCTCCTACCATGGTTTTAGGTGGCTACCCAATTACCATAAGGTCAGCCCTCCCAGTAGTAATTCCCACTTCTAGCTCTCAGCCTACAGAATAGGGCCTGTGATTTATTAAAAGAAGATGCTACTATTTGGTGTAACAGAAATGTAAGAAGCATATCCCAGCTCACAGAGCACAAGAAAATCATCAATTCCATCCCCTTCAATAGGCAGCCAAACTTTCCATACTGCAGATGACTAAAAGATAGAGCTGATTGTGTCCAGGAGGGTGTGACTCTACTGCCAAATATCCTGGCTGGTGATGCTCTCCTCTCCTGCAAAGAGTGTCATTCTTCCAAACAACACTAGTGTTCTCCATTCCCCCATGGATGTGTAACTTAGTCAGGTAAGCCTGCCAAAGTCACACACTGCGCCTCATCCAGAGCCTGAAAAGAGCTAGTCCCACACTAAAGGCAATTTGTGAGACATAATTAATTGCAGATTCCTTCTGGAGCTGCATAAGCTCCTTGATGTCTCAGATGTGTGGCCAGGATGGAGTTCTCTCTGGCAGCTGAGCATCCTTCCACCTCCAGCTGGAAAGGAGGTCCAGATGAAAGAAACTAAGGGTATCACTCAGATCAAGTTTGGCTTTCCCAAGACTTGGTGGGGCAGGCTCAGATGCATGAATGGGGCTTTGGGGAGCCTACCCTTCCAGTAGATCCAAACCACACAGATCATGGAGATCTATGGAAAATAATGTCTCTCTCATGAGCTGACTGTTTGTGATAGTCTCTATTTGGCTCCATGCACTCTGGGTGGGAAAATTATGCAAAGAACATTTTATTTCAGTGAAAGGGACAATGTGATCAGCAAAGTACATGCTCAGTAACCTAATAGAAAGGCTTTCCCAGCATAACATTTGCTTTCTCTTCAGAAAAGCACGGTAGGCTTTGATTCTGCTATTGTAGCATTTCTAATTATATTTATTATCTATTGTCGAAACACAAAACTAATGTGGATACAGCTACCTACAAATTTTTTCAGCTACCTATAAATTTAATTGTCCCCCAAACTGTAAGACATGGCTGTCATGTATCCTATTTTACAAATAAGTAACCAAGTTAATATAAACCTGAAATGATTTTAATTTTAATCAATAGAAAATCAAACTTAGAAGCAGAGGACATTCAGCAACATGGCTGGATCTTATAGATCTTAAACCAAATGAAAGAAGCCAGATAAGAAAGAGCACATACAATATGATTCCATTTATATCATGTTCAACAGGCAAAATTAATTTATGGTGACAGAAGTCAGAACAGTGGTTACTGGGGAGGGGGGTTGGGGCTCTGGATGAAAGAGGTAAAGGAATTAAGAAGTAGAAATTGGCAGTTACAAAATAGTCACAGGGAAGTAAGTAAACCATAGGAAATATAGTTAATAATATTGTAATAACTATGTACAGTGCCAGGTGGGTACACTATGTAAATTATATGATTGTCTAACTACTAAGCTGTACACCTGAAACCAATACATAATAATTATTTTTTTAAAAAAGAACAGTGGTTACTTCTGGGAGGGTGGTATTGACTGGAAAGGTGCCTGAGAGAGTCTTCAGGGATGCTGGAAGCTTTCTAGATTTTGATTTCAGGGCCAGTTCTGCAGGCATATACAAACATACAAATTCATCGAGCTGTAATTCTAAGACTGGTGTGCTTTACCATATTTAAATTATCCCTCAAAAAAAAAAAAAAAAAAAAAAGATGAAACAAAGAAGAAAAAGAGTAGAGAGAACCTGACCTTCAAGAAAGGAAAAAGAGAACTGGACAAGAGTCTTTGCATGACATCATTTCAATTGACTGTGTGAAAGCTTCTGAAATAAACAGGTGCTAAGATGACTCTCTGAGTCTTAAATATATTAAAATATTGCATCAGTCAGGTACTGGCAGGAAACAGATGGAACTTGTGAACTAGGTAACTGGAGACAAGTTTAATAAAGGAGATATTCATAAAGGATTGAGAAAGCACTAACAGAATTCCACGAGGAGTACCAGCACTGACCCCTCTAGGCTCCCGTTGCCCACTGGTTGGACCCAAGAGTGAGGGGCCTGTGATTGTAGCTCCTGCAGGTCAGCCACCAGACCAAGCAGGGAGAAGGGGGCAAAGGTAGAGAGTGGGCTTCAGAGAGTCAAATAAGATACTCAGCATCATGCCCAGCTGGTTGGGCGTTGAACTATGAACCAGATCATGGTTCAATTCCCGGTCAGGCACATGCCAGGGTTGCAGGTTCGGCCCCCAGTGCGGGGGGAGTGTGCAGGAGGCAGCCGATCAATGACTGTCATCATTGATGTTTCTCTCTCTCTCTCTCTCTCTCCATTCCTCTCTCTGAAATCAATAAAACTAAATTTAAAAAAAAAAAAAAAAAGATACTCAGCATCACAACAAACCCAAACAAATCGGACAGCTCCCTGCACCTTGTGTGCTGAACGGGCATCTGCTGGGACTGTCCCTTCTCCATTTCCTTCTGCCCAAACCACCTGCCCATTTCCTATACATTTTACCCTTCCAATAGATCCAAACCACACAGATCATGGAGAGCTGTGGAAAATAATGTCTTTCTCATGAGCCGACTGTAAGTCTCTGGATAGTTTCTGGGCATCTGTGCTTTTCATGTGTTTTGAGCATTCGATAACGTCTCCCTTGAGTTAACCATAGGCCAGTGTGGCCTCGATGAGGAAGTGATATTGGAGCTAAGACATTAGCGATGAGAACGAGGTATCTGTGCAGAGATCTAGGGGAGACCGTTCTGCACAGAAGGAAACAGCAAGTTCAAACCCCTGAGACAGAGGGATGTTTGGAGTGTTTGAGGGAAAGATTATGCACCCCAATGTCCAGAGCTGAATGCTTCGTTACTTGTCAGTTGTTGGAAGGCTCAGGTCCATTACCTCTCACTCAGCCCAGGGAGTCCTCCATCATTGGGTGAGGAGAGGAAGCCCTGCTTTCACAAGCTTCCAGTTCTCTGGACCTGTTTTCTCATTTGTGAAGTGGGGGCTTGCTGGGATTGCGCCTGAGCTCACCTCCTACTCCAAAAAGGTGTGACTCTTTCATCCTATAAGGAAAAAAGGTGCAAAGTGTCATTAGTTTATTTGAAAAATACTGAGTGGGCACCTGCCTTGTGTTTGCTGTGGGGCCAACGTAGCTGAAGTTGTCCGAGCAACAACAGTAATACCCTTGGCACTCACCATCCCCATGCCTACTGCTGGCTCCCTCCTGCAAGCACCAGTCACTCTCCCGCCAGGGGCTTTCTCCCATGATGGGAGCATACCCAGCCTGCATGCAAGGAAGGCCAGAGTGGCTGGCGGGTGCCACAGGAGCAGTCCTGGGCCATGATGAATGGGAGTGGGAGGGTCAGTACCCTGGCTTCCTCCCCATCAGGTGGGACAAGTTTGAGGTGTGCTCCATACCTGCTCCTAGAGCTGCTCAGAGGCGTGGAGCCCCAGTTGCCCTTGACGTAGCCTGCTCTTTAACACCCCTTGCGTTGGCTCCTCTCCCTTCCCTACCCCACTTCCTCACTCCTTGACAGGTGCTTTTCCCACCTAAATGACTTGCACTTGAATCTTATTCTCAGATCCGCTTCAGAGGGAGCCCCATTTAAGACAGCAAGTCACAGTGAGGGATACCAAGGAGTGTAAAATATGTCTCCACCCACAATGAGCTCACCATCTAGTTACTAGTTTTTAAAAGTAGACATTGAGGCCTTGAAATATAACTTTTGACCCAGCAGTTCAACTTCTAAGAATACATCTCAAAAACAATCATAGTTCTGCACTAAACTTAGATACCAAAGTGTTCATCTCTCATCAAAGCATTGACAATGATAGATAAAATTAGAAAATGTAAATATCCTGTGGTTGGGAAATAATTAAATAAACTGCTACATCCATACAACAAAGCACTATGCAGTCATCAAAAACCATGTTGTAGAACAATCCTTAATGACATAGACATGGTTCCTGAGGCTACAATTAAATAAAAAAGTTATAGAACATTATATCTCCAGAACATATCGCTTATTAACAATAATATACAGGGTGTCCAAAAAATGTACACATACTTTAATAGCTGATAGCTCAATTTTGAAAATGAAATGTATTTTAATAAACACAGCCTTTATAATTATTCAAAGTGTGTGTACATGTTTTATATGTGCATATACAAAAATACTAGAAAGCTAAAACACCAAAGGATTAATAGATGCCAGCAGTTTCTTATCTCTGGGTTTATCTATACTTCCAAAATTTCTAAAAATAACATGTATTTTCTTACTTTTAAGGCAGTGCATTATTAGTTTACATAGTCTAAGATAAAGATAGTGTTTCTCAATCTTAGCATTATTGACATTTTGAGCTGGATCACTCTTTGCTGTGTGTGTGTGCTGTGCACTGTATGATGTTTAACAGCATCCTTGGTGTCTAAACATTAGATGCCAGCAACACCCTCCAGGTCGTGTCAACCAAATATGTCTCTAGACATTACCAAGTGTCCCCTAGAACCAAAACCACTCCCAGGTGAGAACCACTGATCTAAGAGAAGCTAAAATCATAAACCAATAATAGCTGTTAATGACCATGAAGTGAAGTAAGATTATTCAAAATCTTTTAGATTTGCATGATATTTTTTCATTTTGAAGAAAGCAATGTCAAGTCAATGTTTAACCTAAATAATATTTATTCCAGAAAATGAGGCCACTTCCTCAATTGTGTAAAAGAACAGCAATTAAGAGGTTCCAAGACATCATCTGTTCAGTTTCTAAGAAATTTAGACTTTTAAAAGTTGAAGTCATGCTGGCCTCACTTCCCAACTATCCTCCCATTGAATGAAGAACATGAGATAAACAGAACCCCCTTAAATGCTCAATATCAAAGACTTCCCAAGAACCATAATTTTCAGTGATTTAACTGTGGCTCTATGTAGTACATAGATGTAACAGGTGCAAGGAAGTTCCCCAAGGGGATTGTGATAGTTATATTAGCATGAATGAAGGAGATTCAATCAAGATATACTTGTTGAACCTTAGCAGGTGTTGCTCAGTGGTTAGAGTGTCAGCCCTGGCAGGGAAGGGTTTCAGGTTTGATTCCCAGGCAAGGGCACATACTTGGGTCGCAGGTTCACTCTCTGCCCCCAGTCAGAGGTGCATGTGGGGAGCAATCAGTGGATGTCTCTCTCTCTCACCTTGAAGTTTCTCTTTCTGTCTTCCCCATCTCCCCCCTCCACTCTCTCTGATAAAGCAATGGAAAGAATATCCCTGGTGAGAATTAACAACAACAAAAAGACATGCTTATTGAGCACCTACAATGTGTCCACCACTGTTCCAGGCTCCGTGGATATGGAGGTGAACAAGATGCCCGATATGCCTGCCCTGGACAGACCTCCTGCTCTAGTGAGGAGGCAGCCAGTCCTCCTGAGCCAGATCACTCCACGGGAAAGATAATTAGACCGGGGGAAGCCATGCGCTCAGCCAGAGGGAGTGCTTTTGGCTGGTGCAGCCTCTCTGAGCCCCCAGTGCAGAGACCAGGGACAGCGGCATCTACGCAAAGACCTGAGCCAGATATGAGTCGGAGTATTTGAGGGGCAGAAAGAGAAGTGGCTGGTGTACTAGCGAAGGGGAGGAAGGCAAGTGAAGGGAGGGGGCAGGCCAGGCGGCTCATCTAGGTCTTAGAGGAAGTTTGGGTTGCACTCTAACTGCAGTGGAAAGGCCTGGAGGGTGCTAAGCAGGGCAGGAAAAGATCTGATTTATGCTTTTGGAAGGTTCCCTCGACCCTGTGTGGAGAGTGGACCAGAGCAGGCAGTAGTGGCACAGGGAGGTCTGCCATTTGACCTCCACAAAAGGCCAGGTGAGAGACCCACAGTGGTGGCCCAACTAGGTTGGAGGGGTGGGGGCAAAACAGTGGCACTTGGAAGAAGATTCGGGAGAAGGGATGGAAGCCTGCGTGGGCCTTGCAATATGGGGAAGCTGAGCCAGCTGTGGGCGAGGAGAGGCGACAGTGTGCAGGTCCAGGCTTGGCACAGCACTTGGGCTGCCTAAAGCCAAAGCTCCAGGGAATGAAGCAGTGACTAATGGCAGACAGCATGAAGGCAAGGGCCTTGTAAACCCATTTTTATTTTTAAATAGGCTAACAGCCAGGAAGTAGGTATTTTGTAACTTCCTTGGGAGTCAAAGCCAAGTGGCGCCAGGAGCTCCCAGCTGTGTAAGCAGCACGGCACAGGCCAGAGCATGAGTGGTTTGCAGGGACAGCCTCATATTCTTCTGGGGGGAAAAATCCCTATTCAGTGGCTGATGCCTGAAACTCCACCATTAGGTTTTTAGTTCAGGACAGAATGCAAATTCCTTTCCAAAAGAAAAAACAGAAGGCATGGATGGAGACTGGGCCCCAAGGAGCAGCAGTGTGACCATGACCTTCAAGGCAGTCAGATAGGACAGATTAGTTCTGGTTCCACACACAGCTTTAGGGCCATGGAAATGGGAAGTGCTAAGGGTGTACAGTGGGTGACTGCTGGCTGAGCAGGTCTTAATGGAGCTGGAAGCTCAGCAGGAGGAAAAAGTCTGTTCAAACCTGGCTGAGTCACCGGAGGCAAGAAGGCGAGTGCAGCTTCTTCCCGCATTTACTCTGGCCTCCTGTGTCTGGTCTGCACATTGGAAGGGCTTTGGGCAAAGCTGGAAGCTCCCTTTGGAGATGAATGCTCAGGAGACTCACACAGGCAGCTTTTCCAGGCTCCTCTGGGTGAATAACCCCAACATTTAATTCAAAAACCAAGTTCCAAGACAATTAAATGACTGAAATAGTTTCAATGGCTTTTGAAAACTCAGTCAAACCTAATTACCTCACTAAACTTCATCCTTTTAAATGAACTTTGCCAATTTTTCTTATCTTTTAATTGGCTAACTTTTTAAAAAATCCAGTTGGCTCTCTGCTCCTCCTGTCCCTTGCATAGGTGGGTCTTCCTGCACAGTGCCAGCCCCAGTCCTGAGACACAATGGTAAAGGTTGGAGTGAACAGATTTGTCCATATTGGGCATGTGGTCACTAAGGCTGCTTTTAACTCTGGCAAAGTGGATATCGTCACCATCAATAACCCCTTTATTGACCTCAACTACATGGTCTACATCATGGGTGGGGAATGTCTGGCCTGCAAAATCATTTGGTCTGGCTCTGCCATGGCAACCGCAAGAGAGACCTAAAATTCAATAAATCTAGGAGCTTTTTTCATAGCTAATTGTTAAGTTTACAATTTTGTATGGCCTGTGAATGATGTTATAAATATCCAAATGACCCTTGGCAGAAAAAAGGTTCCCCACTCCTGACACATATTCCAGTTTGATTCAATTCATGGTAACTTCAAATGCACAGTCAAGGCTGAGAACAGGAAGCTTGTCATCAATGGAAAGTCTGTTTCGGAGATTTCAAGATGGCAGCAGGTTGAGTGGAAGCTACACTGACATGCTCCCAGGACCAAGCTGGAATTACAACTAAAATATAGAAAAACCATCCTGAATAAAAATCAACAAAGAAACAGTGACTCTAAATGAAACATTAGATCAGATGGATTTAATTGACATTTACAGAACATTTCACCCCAAAGTTGCAGAATATACATTCTCCTCAAGTGCACGTGGAACATTCTCAAAGATAGATCACATTCTAGGACACAAAACAAGTCTCTGCAAGTTCAAGAATATTGAAATCATATCAAGCATCTTCTCAGACATTTATACCATGGAATACTATGCAGCTGTAAAAACGAAGAATCCCTTATCCTTTGAGACAGCATGGTGGGATCTGGAGAGTATTATGCTAAGTGAAATAAGACAGTCAGAGAAAGACAAGTATCACATGATCTCACTTATATGTGGAATCTAATGAACAAAATAGATCCAGAGACATAGAAGCATGAATCAGACTGACAAATGTCAGAAGGAATGTGGGGATGAGTGGAGAGAGATTAACGGATGAACTTATATGCATATATGCATAACCTATGGACACAGACAATAGTGTGGTGAAGGCCTGGAGGGAGGGGTGCAGGGTGGAGGGGATCCATGATGGAAAAAGGGGGATATTTGTAATATTATACAATAAAGATAAATTAAAACATAAAAAAGAGCATATCTGTAATACCCTCAACAATAAAAATAAATTAAAAAAAAAAAAGTCCATCTCCGTTTTCCAGGAGCGAGATCCCGCCAACATCAAATGGAGTGATGCGGGTGCTGAATATGTTGTGAGTCTACTGATGTCTTCACTACCTTGAATAAGGTTGGGGGTTCCTTGAAGGGCAGAGCCAAAAGGGTTATCATCTCTCCCCTTTCTGCAGATGCCCCTATGTTTGTGATGGATGTGCACCAAGAAATTAAGACAACTCCCTCAAGATTGTCAGCAATGCCTCCTACACCACCAACTGCTTGGCCCCCCGGGCCAAGGTCATTCATGACAACTTTGACATTGTGGAGGGACTCGTGACCACAGTCCATGCCATCACTGCCACCCAGAAGACCTCGGATGGCCCCTCTGGGAAGCTGTGGTGTAATGGCCAAAAGTCTGCCCAGAACATCATCCCTGCTTCTACTGGCGCAGGCAAGGCTGTGTGCAAAGTCATCCCTGAGCTAAATGAGAAGCTCACTGGCAATGACCTTCCATGTCCCCACCCCCAATGTGTTGATTGTGAATCTGCCCTACCACATGGAGAAAGCCGCCAAATATGATGACAAGAAGAAGGTAGTGAAGCAGGTGTCAACTTCTCAAGGGCATCCAGGGCTACAGTGAAGACGAGGTTGTTTCCTGCAACTTTAACAGTGACACCCACTCTTCAACCTTCTATGTTGGGACTGGCATTGCCCTCAATGTCCACTTTGTCAGATTCATTTTCTGGTATGACAATTAATTTGGCTACAGCAACAGGTTGGTGGACCTTATGGTCCTCATGGCCTTCAAGGAGTAAGAGCCTTCTGGACCAACAGCCCCAGGGAGAGGAAGAGAGGCCCCTCAGCTGCTGGGGATTCCTTGCCCCAAATTGATCCCACAACACACTGTGAATCTCCTGACCTCCACAGATTCCATCCCAGATCCCCTGAAGAAGGGGAGGGTTTAGGGAGCCCTAACATGCCATGTACCATCAATAAAGTTCACTGTAACCCCCCCACACACACACAAAATCTCAACCTAGGAAGGCATTTAAATGAAAGTCATTGTTATTTCAGTCTCAGTCACATTTTTCTCTACATCTTGCCCTACTTGTCCAACTGCAGGATGCAGAGGCCCTGAGAATAGATCAGACTCTAGATTTTTATTCTATTCATGTTGCCTTCCCTTCATTTATTTTCAGTTTTATTATTTCACTTATTTAATAAATATTTAGCCCTGGCTGGGTGGCTCATTTGGTTGGAGCATTGTTCTGTATGTCAAAAGGTTTGCAGGTTCTATCTCCAGTCAGGGTACATACGTAAGTTGCGGGTTTGATCCCTGGTGGGGGTACATACAGAGGCAACCAATCAATGTTTCTCACACATTGATGCTTCTCTCTTTATCTCTCTCTCCCTTCCTCTCTCTCTAAAAATCAGTAAAAGAAACATATCCTCAGGTGAGAATTAAAAATATAAAATTCTTTAAAATTTTAAAATAAATTAATATATACAGTTTAAAAACAAAAAAATAATTCCAGATGGGCGTGGCTCAGCAGTTGAACATCAACCTAGGATCCTGGAGGTCAAGGTTCGATTCTCCATCAGGGCACCTGCGGGGCTTGTAGGCTCGATCCGCAAGTAGGGGGCGGGGCAGGAGGCAGCCAATCAATGACTCTCTCATCATTGATGTTTCTCTCTCTCTCCCTCTCCCTTCCTCTCTCTGAAATCAATAAAGATATATTAAAAAATAAATTTATTTATTGAATTCTCATTATATATCAGCAACTGTAGTAGATAGAGGCTGGGGATGTAGAAAAGTTAGATATTTGGTCTCTGCCCTAGAGCACGTTTGTAGGAACAAACAAGTCATCAAAATAAATATAATTAAAATGTGTCCAAAGCACTGAATATATATGTGCTAAGTTTTAATTTACACTTTAATTTACTAAGTAAATAAATCCTATAAGTTTATCACCACATATTTCACAATAATGTCTTGTTTGGATAAATGCCAAGGGAATTCCCTTCCCCCAAAAGCGCAATCTTTTTTATTTCTTATGTTAGATTGCCATCGTGTGGCTCTTTTGTGTAATTGCAGGTGTAATTTGTCTATTTCTTGTGTTAGAGTGCCACCGTGTGGAATATATATGTAATTGTACATCATATTATTTATTTATTTTATTTTGGTGTTACACCGCCCCCAGTGGACTTGTCTCATAATTGCAGAGGAATTTTTTTCTCCTGATTATTTTGAGTGCCACCAGGTAGAATTTTCATGTAATTACATACAGATATGTTCTTCTATTACTCTGCTTAGAATGCCACCCAATGGAATTTTCCTACAATTGCAAATCAGAAAAGGTTTTCCTATTTTTCAGTTTAGAGTGCCACCTGATAGAATTCATGTAATTTATAATCAGCTATGTTTTTCTTATTAGTTATTCTCCCACTTTTCGAAAGCTTGTGTTAAGACACTTCAATTTTATGAAAGACATACATTAATACCTGTTTTTGCTGACCAAAATAAATCCAAAGAACCTGAACTTTGAATGTATAAAAGGATTCTTCTCTCCTAATCTTTCCATAGCAATGAATATTCACTGAAAATCCTCACCAAAGCCTTCGACCAAGAACCTTACCCAGGTTACAATACCAGGTTGCTTTAAAAATGGACATTGAAGTGTCTAGAATTGATACTTGGTTTAAAAATCAAAGATATAGGCACAGAGTTTAGAGAAGATCAGGGCCTGAGGACTTAGAAGCAAGCCAAGACCAAGATCGTGACCAAGGTCAGCCTGTGGGAAAGAGTCCAAGAGTCCAAGGAGAGAAGATAGATGGAGTCATACCATCTACATTTCCTCCCAATTACACACCCTCGTCGCGGCATTTGAGAACAACCCGTATCCTGGGATTGCTTCCAGAGAGCAACTTGTGAAGGAAGTTGGGGTTCCAGAGTCAAGAGTCCAAACTTGTTTTAAAAATTGAAGATATAAATTCTGTGTCCAGAGGAAAAAAGAGCCCGATGAGCCTTCAGAATAGGAACAAGACCAGGAACAAGACCTCTGACATGAGGGAGCTCAAGGTACGGAAACTACACACAATGGCAGCAACCTCTTTAGCAACTGCCTCCTTTCTCCAAAGCTAGACCAGGAGACAAATCAGTGTATGATGTCATCAGCCTGGGCTCCGAAGCTCTCTTCCTCTTCCTGGGAACGTGCCCTTCTCATCGCACCTTCAGCTTCTCCAGGCATTTTATCTTTTATTTTTAACTAAGTTTCAATAAAATATATTTTACATTTTAAAAAAAGACATCCAAAGATTTTCTCTTTTCTGAAAAAAGGTGAAAAGTGAAAATAGCATTCATTTGTTTTGCAGTGAGCCATTATTGGTAAGACTTCAAATCAACAGTAGGCTATTAGTAGTTAAGTTTTTGAGGAGCCAAAGGTTATACTCAGATTTTCAACTATGTGGGGGTTGGCACCCCTAACCCCCTCCTTGTTCAAGGGTCAAGAGTGTGTGTGTGTGTGTGTGTGTGTGTGTGTGTGTGTGTGTGTGTGTGTGTGTGCAGAGAGAGAGAGAGAGCTGTAACCAGAAAAACATCTGATTTGGAATTACATGGTAATTCCACCAGGTGGCATTCTAACCTAAGACATAGGAAAAACTTATTTAATTTGCAATAGCAGGAAAATTCCATTGGGTGGCACTCTAAGCAAAGTAATAAGAAAAACATATCTGTGCAGTTACATGAAAATTCTACCCGGTAGCACTCAAACGGATTAATAGAAAAAAAAAATCTCTGCAATTATGAGATGAATCCACTGGGTGACACTGTAACATAAAAAATAAAAATAAATATTCCCACCGGCAGTGTGCTAGGGTTCCTTTTTCTCCACAATCTCCCCAGCACCAATTCTTTGTTCATTTATTGATGGTAGCCGTTCTGGCAGGTGTGAGGTGATACCTCATTGTCATTTTAATTTGCATCTCCCTGATTAGTGACATTGAGCATTTTTTCACATGTCTCTTGGCCATCTGTACGTCCTCTTTGAAGAAGTATCTATTCAGGTCCTTTGCCCATTTTTTAATTGGATTGTTTGTCTTCCTGGTGTTGAGTTGTATGAGTACTTCATACATTTTGGAAATTAACCCCTTATCTGACAATATGTTCTCCCATAGAATGGGTTCCCTTTTCATTTTGATACTGTTTCTTTTGCTGTTCAGAAGATTTTTAGTTTGATGTAGTCCCATTTGGTTATTTTTCCTTTGTTTCCCTTGCCCTAGAGATGTATAAGTGAAAATTCTGCTACATGAGATGTCTGAGATTTTGTATGTATTCTCCTAGGGCTTTCTCCTAGGGCTTTTATGGTTTCATGACATACATTTAAATCTTTTATCTATTCTGAGTTTATTCTTATGTATAGTGTAAGTTGGTGGTCTAGTGTCATTTTTTTGCATGTACCTGTCCAGACTGGTGCAGCCACTACGGAAAATAGTGTGGAGTTTCTTCAAAAAATTAAAAATGGAACTGCCATTTGATCCAGTGATCCCCCTTCTAGGAATATATTCTAAGAATCCTGAAATACCAACCTGAAAGAATATGTGCACCCCTATGTTCATAGCAGCATTATTTACCATAGCCAAGATCTGGAAACAGCCCAAGTGCCCATCAGTAGATGAGTGGATAAAAAAGCTGTGGCACATTTCCACACATGGAATACTGTGCAGCTGTGAAAAGGAAGGATCTCTTACCCTTTGGGACAGCATGGGGGGACCTGGAGATTATTATGCTGAGTGAAATAAGCCAGGCAGAGAAAGACAAACATCACCAGATCTCACTTATATGTGGAATCTAATGAACAAAATAAACTGATGAATAAGATAGAAGCAGTGGCATGGGAACATAGAACAGACTGATGAATCTCAGGAGGAAGGGGGGAGAGGAGTTCAGGAGATTAACCAAAGAACTTATATGCATATATGCATTGCCCATGAACAAAGACAATAGGGTGGTGGACGACTGGGGTGGGGTGGGAACCGGGTGGAAAAGGGCAATGGGGGAATAGGGGAGACATCTGTAATACTCTCAACAATAAAGATTTTTTTAAAATAATAAATAATAAATAAATAATTCTGCAATTACATAAAAATTCCACAAGATGGCACTCTAACACAAGAAATAGAAAAAAGTTGGCATTCTAGCTACATGGACATTCCACCAGATGGAAATCTAACATAAGAAATGGTTGTTTTATCTGAATGTATTCTGTGGGGTGGAATCTGGGAATTTGGTGTCTAATATGTTTACTTGTTTATGTTAATGCTACTTGTCTGGGACTGCACTTTGAGAACCACTGAAGTACCCTCATGTTATTTATTGGTGGGGAGCTCTCCCTGTCCCTACCTTTTGCTGGTAGAAGTAGGCTTCCTGCGATGTCATGAAAAAAGGCATTTTTGAGTCTCACAGGAGGATGAGATATTGTAGGAAGTTTTATTTCTGTGGAATTACAGCCCTGAGTTTCCAAGGTCCCATTTCTCTTTGCCCCTGCCAAGG